TTCTTTCTTTCTTTCTTTCTTTCTTTCTTTCTTTCTTTCTTTCTTTCCCAAACTCCAGATTTCACGGCAGGCTTTTGGGCACCGGCTTTCCTCTCCTTCTCCCCTTTGCCCCTGTCAGCCACTTAAAATTCTGCTCTCCTTTTTCAGCTTGTGCAAAGGACGAACCCTCTACTCGGTGGTGAGAGATGTCAAAACCGTCCTGGATGTCAACAAAACACGACAGATTGCTCAGGAGATTGTCAAGGTAGGGGAGAGGGTGGGGGGAGGAGGTGGGCTTGCTCCCAGCACGTCCTGGGAAGTCTCGAGCAGGTAATTTGATGCCAGCAGGAGAAATCGCCACTATACTCCCCAAATCCCCGAAGCTGGTGTAAAAAAACAAAACAAAACAAAATATCCCCCACACACATTTAAAGCTCCTGAAATAATGAAACTTGCTGGAAATAATCCATCTCTAAACCCAGAGACAGATGTTTAGAAGCCTTTTTATAGAAACCACACAGATGTTCATCTTCTTTATCATGGTGGCCAGTTGGGGGAAGCTCTTCTCATCCATGATTCGGTTATCTCTGGGGAGGCCCACGTTGAGCGTTCCTGGGAAAATTCACCGAAGGAAGGTTCCCACCATGGAAACACCTTTGTATCCCTTGAGCCACGGTGACACAGTGGTGAGAGTGCAGTATTGCAGGTGACTTCTGCTGACTGCCAGCTGCCTGCAGTTTGGCCGTTTGAGTCTCACCAGGCTCAAGGTCGGCTCAGCCTTCCATCCTTCCGAGGTGGGTAAAAGGAGGACCCAGATTGTTGGGGGCAAGAGGCTGACTCTGTAAACCGCTTAGAGAGGGCATCTGATTGAAAAAGTGCAGAGAAGAGCAACCAAGATGATGAGGGGACTGGAGACTAAAACATACGATGAACGGTTGCAGGAACTGGGCCTGGCTAGTCTAGGGAAGAGAAGGACCAGGGGAAACAGGATAGCATCTTCCAATATTTGAGGGGCTGCCACAGAGAGGAGGGGGATCAAGCCATTTTCTAAAGCACCCGAAGGCCAGACAAGGAATAATGGATGGAAACTGATCAAGGAGAGATTCAACCTGGAAATAAGGAGAAACTTTCTGACAGTGAGAACAATCCACCCATGGAACAGAAGTTGCCCTCGGAAGTTGTGGGAGCGCCATCACTTGAGACTTTTAAGAAGAGACTGGACTCCCATCTGTTAGAATTGGTGTAGGGTCTCCTGCTTGGCCAAGGAGTTGGATTAGATGACCTTCCAACTCTGTTAATCTGTTATCTGTTACCTGCTAATAATGCTAATCATCATCTGAGCCTTCAGCGAGTCGTAATCTTTTTCGCTGTGGGAGAGTCTTGTTAAAAACTCAATATCTCCAAAACGCAATATCGCAAAGCCACAATAAAATGAGACACACCTGTAGGTTGCTGGTAGGAAAGCAGGTTAGTGGTTTATAAACTGCCAGTTATGGTAGCGCAATAAGGCTTGCTCTGCCTGACGTGCTATGTCAAATTCCTGCTGCCATTTGACATATATCATACGTGGACGCCCCAGGGCAAGAAGGCTATTACCTGAGAAACCGCACTGAAGTAAGTCCCTTTGGATCCTGGATTTCCAAGAAGAGGAGGCATTATCCGAAACAACCATGGCAGCCAGACAATTCCTGGGAAATCGGAGCTGAAGTCAAAAATAGAATAGAAAATAGAATCAATGTACATGAGTCGTAAAAATTCAGGGAATGGGCCCAATTTCTGAGTGCTGTGTTTGAAACTAGCTGAGCACTCCAATGAGTAGAATTTGGATTGTATCTTACCTTGGGATTTTAGACTATTTGTTACCATATAACTTTATTATTTCTAACTGTAAGGAGACCTATAACTATGATTTATATCTATAATCTGCCTAGATCTATCTATAATTTATAGATCTATAACTATAATTGGTTATTATATTATATACAGTAGTAGCCAATTATACTATTGGGAGGTAATGCTTTGAAAAGTCTTACAGCAGCTGGTAGATTTGTATTTTCTCTGGTATAAAGGAAGCCAAAGATAGCCTCTGGTCTCATTATCAGAGATAGATTTAATTTGTTCCCACCAGACACTCAGTTATTGGAAGACAGCATTGAGATATTCAAAAGATGGAACTTGATCTACAGCAGTGTTACATAATCTTGGGGACATCCAATAATTGTGGTTGAGGAATTCTGATAGTTGATAAAGCTGGCAAAGTTGAGAAGATTGGTCCTACAGAATTATTACTAATCTACCATCTGTGTTGAGAACTTCCCCATCCCTTTAAAAAAAAATCATTTGATTTTGAAGTAATTAACGGACAACTATACAAAGAATTTAGCTCCATATCCCATCTTCTCTGGACCACTGTTGAAGTAATGGAGTAGGAACTGTTGAGCGGTGATAAGGTGGGAGGAACTGGTTCTGGACCATTCCTGGTTTTGAACCAAGAAGAAGAATAAAGCTTCGTGGAGATGTCTTTGGATCATCCTGTGTTGTCTTTCTAGAATGAGATATGGAAATATATTCTAACATTAAGATTAAGGGGGAGGTGGGGTTGTAAAGATTTGTTTTAAGGCTTGAAATCCAGAAGGGGGCACTAGCAAGTCATCCCCAGGGCAGGTGAGCCCTGAGGCTGTACAACCTCTTTTGATTTAGGGGGAAAATCTTTTTGCAGGAGCATTTTCCTAAAATGCTTTAGAGGTAGAGTTGGAATGAGGAGGATGTGTCCAAAATGAAATGGACATTTACTATCATTCTCCTTTTTTGTCTCTCGTCCAATGTTTCACGAATTCTTAATAGCAACAGCACTTAGACCTATATACCGCTTCACAGTGCTTTACAGCCCTTTCTAAGCGGTTTTACAGAGTCAGCCTCTTGCCCCCCCAACAATCTGGGTCCTCATTTTACCAACCTCGGAAGGATGGACGGAAGGCTGAGTCAACCTTGAGCTGGTCAGGATGGAACACCTGACAGCGGGCAGAGTCAGTCTGCAATCATGCAATCTAGCCACTTGTCCACTCCAGTTAGAAAGTTCTAAAGGCATAGTTACAAAACATAGAGGCTGCTCTAAAGAAATAACCCATCGGAAATAAGATCAAGCAATGCCGTCATTGGACAACTCAGATGGCAGCTGGAAATAGTGGTGTGATTCTCTGGGCCCCTCCCCCCCCCAAAAAAAACTTGCCCTAAGATTAGGCCTGGAAGGATACTCTTTGGGATAAGTCCTATGACTCATGTCTCTATTTATGGTGAGCCAGGTTCTCTGACCTTCTGTCCCAAACATGGTTGTTACCAAAGAGTCATCATCTCTTGAGTGGCGTCTGTTTGGACCTTCCTATAAATTCCTTGATGAATGCCTGGAGGACAGACAAAAGCCGGCCAGCTTAACCAAGAAGCCAGTGACTCACATTCTCTTTCCTCCCAGAGACCCAACGCCAGTAGGGCCTGAGATGGCAGCGTTTGTGAGCACTGACCGGAGCTTTTTGTAGAGGAGAAAGGGGGTCATGAAAAATGGACCTGTCTCTACAATCCATTAGGTTCCTAAACCATTGACACCAGCGCTGAAAGCAAGCCATGGGTGGATTCGGGATTGCAGTGGAGGCAGGTGAAGGGAGAACGATCTATCTTCACATTCTGAGCACTGCAGACTTTCCCTGAGTGATGAGTTCTCAACTCGCCAAACTCCCAAGAATTTTTTATAATCTTCACCCATCACTGCTGCTGCGACAGCTACCTCTTCTTCCTCTTCCTTCTCTTCCTCCTCCTCCTTTTCTTCTTCTTTTCTTCTTCTCCCCTCCTCCTCCTCTTCTCCTTCCTCCTCCTTTTCCTCTTCCTCCTCCTCCTCCCTCCTCCACCTCTTTCCTCTTCCTCTTCCCCTCCTCCTCCCCCTTCTTCTCTTCCTCCTCCTCTCCTCCTCCTCCTGTTCTCCTCCTCCTCTTCTTCCTCCTCCTCCTTTTCTTCTTTTTTTCTTCTTTTCTTCTTCACCCCTCCTCCTCCTCTTCTCCTTCCTCCTCCTTTTCCGCTTCCTCCTCCTCCTCCTCCTCCCTCCTCCACCTCTTTCCTCTTCCTCTTACCCTCCTCCTCCTCCTTTTTCTCCTCCTCCTCTCCTCCTCCTCTCTTCCTCTTCCTCTTCTCCTCCTCCTCCTCCTGCCCCTGCCTCTTCCTCTTCTTCTTCTTCCTCTTCCTCTTCTTCTTCTTCCTCTCCTCCTCCTCCTCTTCCTCTTCTTCTCCTCCTCCTCCTGCCCCTACCTCTGTTTCTGCTTCCTCCCCGTCCTCCTCCTCTTCCTCCTCCTCCTCCTCCTCCTCCTCCTCCCTGCAATTTCCTTTTTACCCTGATGACGTCTCCTAGTTGGGTACT